TCTTTAAATGACTTCATGCGAACAAGTGCGAACTTAGGGGGGAGGGGGGGTCTAGATTTCTTAAAAAGTGCGAACGTACTTTGTGAATCACCCCTTATAATAGCATTATCTGCCGTGAATTGAGCATGAATCATTTACATTAGGGTTAATTTACAATCTACGAATGTAAAGTATGGATAATAATAATAATAATAATAATAATAATAATTTGATATCATTGATATCAATCTTTATTCAAACATGTTGAATAGATAGTACATTAAATAGTACATAGTTCAATTTTTTAGTCATATTATGACAACGCTTAGATTAGAACAAACGTTATATTATTGTTATACAATTATATTTTTGTTTATACATATTTGGTGTCATGTTGTGGTGTAAGCATTTGTGCGGGGCATCCAAGTTGTGTGAGCGTTGATATGTGTTGTATATTTTAGTGTAGTGTAGTGTATTTTAGTGTATTTTAGTGGATGTTTGTTAAATATTTTAGTTTAACAATGCCAGAAATATTAGATTAATTTTAAGTGCAAATATAATTGTATATATATTTAGTAATTTAATTAAAATTTTATAATTAAAATTATGTTCAAAATTAATAAGCGATTGAAATGAAAAGAAAAATAGTTTGCATTTAAATTGTATGCCGAGTGTCACGTGATTCACACGTTTAGACACAAAGTAATTACAACTCATATTTATAATAGATATTAAGTCCCCTTTCAGTACAGTTTAATAATAAATATTTTTAACATTTATTGACATTACTTATTGTCATTAGTTTTGCATTATTTCAAGTGATAAACACGTGTTTATTAACTGTAAATACAAAGCGATTAAAGTTTTTTTAAAATTTGTTTTACAAATTGTGATTAAAAATGAGTCAATCGTTGTTTGAATTGAAAAGTTTGTGTGAAATAATAGACAAAATTAAGTGTATTTTGAATACAAATAATAGTGTTTTGTGTGAAGCGATTTTTGTGTGATTTGTTTTTAAACCACATATAACGCGCACCCCGTAGATAACGCGCACCACTAATTTTGACAAGAAATGCACTTTTTTCATTAGATAACGCGCGCGTTGTCTATGGGATAATACGGTAATACTTATTTTATTCTCCCGAGTTTTAACATAGATCTAAAATATGGTGTCTAAACAGTGTCTATTAACACAAACACAAATGATTGCCACTAATAATAGCAAATCAATTGTAGTGCAGCCAGATGTCACTTTGCCTAATATATTTCTCGATCATAATGGCCAATCATTTATTTGCGGACCTTTGATCATAATAATTAAAGCATTGCTTGACAAACATCATCTCAAGTAAGACTTATTTTATAGAATGGCAAATAAAGATTTTATATTAAATTAAATTAATATTTTTACATTTGTATGTAGTTTTCGATACATACAGCCCACGAGAGGTCCATCTAGATACTACAATCAGCTAAAAACCAACGCACCTGACCTGATGCTCATGGATGCCGATTCAAACACATACCTATACTATAAACGAGTGGTCAGTCATATGACCAATGGTTTGGTACACATCACACACAGTAAGACATTGGGCTATAACTCAATGTCTAATATCGCATATGAGGTCCGGCGGGCAAACGATCCCTTATTTAAATACATTCACTGTTTTACTGGCGATCTCTGGCTAACAGTATTGTTAACGTTAATTGTCGTAACGATTATTATGGCTATAATAAATTGGAATAAAAATTATGGTAAACTTATCAAATTAATATGGCATAATATAGTCATATTATTAACTAGATCAATACCCAGATATTATTCACGTAAAATTAATTTAGTTACTAAATGTGTATTAGTGCTATGGCTTTGGGTATCAACTTATATATCGATAATGTTTTGCTGCTTTCTATTGGATTACATGATAACATCAGTACCCGAGCAGCGGATCGACTCGTGGCAGGACCTGTACGATAGGCCGGGCATTAAGATTATGGTATTTAGATTTAACGAGCTAGTCACTTACGCCAATACCCATAGTACACCGATGGCACGTGACTTTCTCAAACGTATCGAGGTCATTACATTAAAACAAACCGAAAACTTTTGGCAAACATTTGCAAAGCGTATGGAAAGCGGTGAATACGCTTACGTGAATAATCCGTGGAATATGATGACCACGTTTATGATGGCTGGTAATGGATCTAGCTCATTATCCAAGAAATATCATATATCTCGTGAAGGGGGCGGAGAATTGCCGTATTTTTTATGGTTAATACAGAAGTTGCCGATTGGTTACTAAAACCATTGAATGTGGTGTAAGTGCCAGAGTATTATTTTTACCATTATTATTTTAGTTTTTTAAACATAATATAATTTGTTACATAAAGTATAAGTCAATTACTGGAAAGTGGTGTTTACAACCATTGGGTACAGGAATTGCCTAAAATGATCGGCGGTTTAATGTTTTACAACGAGTTTAACGCAATAGATATTAAAGAGTGGGAGGCGTTGACTGTCCGGCACTCATCCGACGCCTTATATTTGTTAATTTGTGGACATTTTCTATCGATTGTCATTGTTTTCATTGAATTGAAATTTATATGTAAATGACTTGTTAATATTTTTTAGTTATTCACTTTTAATGGCTATTTTGTTTTGAAATCTTATAATATTAATACAATTAATAATAAGTCCACAATATTTTGTTGTATTGATTGATACCACCGGTAGTCCAGTAGTGGATTAACTCTTGAAAAACTACAATAGGCCCGATATAGTGATAGTAAAATTTAGATAATGTATTTTATTATCCACAGTATTTTATTGCGTTCACTATTTTTTATATAAAATTTTTAAATAGTGTGCATTCTTAAATATTTCATTTAAAACATTTTAATAATTGTTTAATAAAATTACAAGTTCAGTTTAGATTTATAACATTTCAATGAATAAATTTTAATTTATTTTTAAATCAGTGTTTGTTTAACTTTAAATGTTGTGTTACTTCTTGTTTTGTAACAAACCGTTGATTACAGTTATTATGAATACATTTATGGCTTTTTATATTCAGATGTCTTCTCATATGTACTGTTAAATAACTATTTGTGCGAAAAATTTTGTTACACTCATTAAAATGACAAACAAATGGTTTTTCTCCCGAATGAATGCGTTTGTGTCGCGAAAGTTCGCTTTTCTGGCCAAAACTTTTGCCACAATTTTCTTCATTACATTTGAATTTCCTTTCATTCAAATGAACACAACTTTTGTGTCGAAATAAACTCCGTTTTTCAGTAAAACTTTTGTTACATTTATTGAAATCACAAACAAATCTCTCATTTTTATGAATGATATTTTTGTGTTGAATTAAGTGATTGTTTCGTTTATAACTTTTATTACAATCAATAAAATCACATTTAAATTGTTTTATTTCTGAATGAATTAATTGATGTTTAGTTAATAAAAATTTATTTGTTGTCTTGTATTGACATTTAGGCCAAAAACAGTGAAAATAATCATGAGATTTAGTAATGATATGACAATTGTTTAGCATTTTATCACTGATTTTACATGAATTGCAATTTAAAAATAATTAAAAATTTATATTTACCTTAAAATGAACACCAAATTTGTAAAACAATTACTTTTCAATTCAAGAGTTTTACTGCAAATGTGGTTTTCCTATGAAATGGTGATGAAAAACCGGTCATTGAGTGCATTGACTGCAATGTTTGTGTTTAGGATTAGGGTTGCGATAAGAGTGTCGAGGATTAAGAATGAAGGCAAAGGTATACATTGAATTTTTGGTACAAAAAATGGAAAACATTGGTAAGTATAGGGAAATATGATTGTCTTATGATATTCCTCTGGAAGTATTGGTAATTTTGAGAATTTTGAATGTCCAGGTGAAAACTTGGACAAAAGTTGGTCAGTTTACAATCTGGTACATAAAGGCCGAAATATAACCGTTTTTTGTTTTGTTTTGTTTATTTGTTTAATTGCAAAATTTGTTTTTTGAGTGTATTTTTCCCGAAAAAACGGTTGAGATCACAGCCTAGCTAATAACTATTTATAATTGTGAACTGAAAATAACTTAAAACTTTAACTAAAACTTTATATGATTTTAAATAGTATTTAAATAATGGTATTTAAATCAAATAGTATTGACTATAATTTACTAACTTTTTAGGTTATATTCTAAGTTTTCCGGACGTAATGTATGTCTAACTCAATACACGTGTGAACTCTGTTTACTGTTTTGTTGATTATACATTTATACAGTATTTACTTTTAATTGAAGTGTTATTTAATTGTCAAAACATGGGATCAATTAGTGGTGATATTCAACGATTAACACGAAGACAATTGTGTTCAGAGATTAATGGATTGAAACAATCTGTGAATCGCTTGACAACAGAGTTATTGAGATATAAATTATTGGCCAAAAAATGTGATAAATATAATTTATCAAATGTTTTATTATTAGTTTAATTAACACTTAACAAAAGCCTTATCAATGTTTTGAATGCTATTAACGATAAAAATTGTATCATTTGTTTGAATCAAACTTTTCATCCATTCATAGGTTTACTAATTATTGTCAAAGAAATTACTTTTAATTAACTTTTGGTTTACTTTTTAGAAACAGATTACAAATTATTCGGTCAAACGAGCGATGAATTTATAGATGAAGTGTTGGCTCAAAGAGAAGACAATACAAGACATGAAACACAAGACAATAGAGAGAAGACAAGCGCTGAAGAAGTGGTCGACTCTGAAGACAACGAATCAAATGATGGCATCGATTGTCATATTAATGATGAGACAGACGTTGAAAGTGATGCCGAAGACAATGAAGACAACTGTCAAATAACTGAAGACTTGATTCATAAAAACATTCAATTGAATCGCGAATCAATTGAGAATCAAATAGTCGATGATTTGATTACAAAATCAGATAACAAGAGCACAACTGTTACAGGCGTTGGAAGTGATGCCGAAGACAATCATATTAACGAAGACTTGAATAATAAAACTAATGAATTGAATGATAACTTAAGTGATAATCAAAGAGGGAGTGAATTGAACACAACATATAATACACGGAAACGAAAGTACACTTCAATTGATAGCGAAGACAATGACAAAGAATCTGAAGAATTGAGTGACAATGAAATGGATGCTAATTCTAGTGATAAAACAATGTCTGGGAAACCGTCGCGAAAAAGTGGTGTATTTGTGTGCGATTACGAGGGCTGTGACGTGTCCTTCCGTGACTCGTATTTCTTAAAAAGGCACGCATTTTGTCATTTGAGTGCAAAAATCAAGACATCAATGGTTTATAAGAGGAGACCCGACGGGCAATACGTGTGTCTTATGGATGCCTGTAATGAGGTCTACAAATACAGAGATGCTCTCAGATTACACCAAATGTCACACTTGAAAGAGTGTCCGCAGACCCACAGTCCGAATGAGTTAATCGAAGACAATGAGGACAACAATCATATGAATGAAGACTTGAATAATAAAACCAATGAATTGAATGACAACTCAAGTGGTAATCAAAACGCGAGTGAATTAAACACAACATATAATACACGGAAACGAAAGTACACTTCAATGGATAGCGAAGACAATGACAGCGAATCTGAAGAATATAGATCTGATTTGAGTGACAATTTTGGTGACGAATGGACAGTTAGGAAACGGGTGCGAAAGGGACCGAATGGGAAGTTTGTGTGCGACTACAGGGGCTGCGGTCGGGCTTTTAATTTCTCTTCGTGCTTACGATTGCATGCGTTTAAACATTTGAACGCAAAGACCAGGAAATTAATGCTCTTTGAGAAGCGATCCGACGGCCGATACGTGTGTCTTATGGACGCCTGTAATGGGGTTTATAAACAGTTCCGTAACCTCCGACAGCACCAAATCTTACACTTGAAAGACAGACCAAATGAGTGGACCAAAGAACCCGACGGGAAGTATGTGTGCCATTACAAGGGCTGTGACCGGCATTTCCCAGACGTGAGTGCACTAAAAAGTCACGCATTTTGTCACTTGAATGCGAAGACTAAGAAATCATTGGTTTTTAAGAAGAGATCCGACGGCCGATACGCGTGTCTTATGGACGCCTGTAATACCGTCTATAAACACAAGTATAACCTTAGAGGTCATCAAATGTCACACTTGAAAGAGCCGTTTGCAGACAATTGTGGATCAGATTTGAGTGACGATGAAATGGACGACAAGTCGGGCGATGAAGTAGTTGGCAAAAAATGGCCGCCAAAAGGAGCCGACGGGAAGTATGTGTGCGACTATAAGGGCTGTGACCGGGAATTCCTGTTTGTGAGATCTCTAAAAATGCACGCATTTTGTCACTTGAATGCGAAGACCAAGAAATCATTGGTTTTTGAGAAGAGATCCGACGGCCGATACGCGTGTCTTATGGACGCCTGTAATGCGGTTTACAAACACATTCAACACCTCAGAGGTCATCAAATGTCGCACTTGAAAGAGCCGTTTGCAGACTATTATGAATCAGATTTGAGTGACAATGAAATGGACGACCACTGGATTGGATGGAAACCCACACGAAAAGCACCCGACAATAAGTATGTCTGTGACTATAGAGCCTGCGGGACATCCTTTAAGATACTGAATGAACTACGAAAGCATGCGTTCAGACATTTGAGTGCAAAACTTAGGAAAACATTGGCTTTTAAACGACGATCCGACGGAATATATGTGTGTTTTTGGGGCGAATGTATTAAAACATACAAAACTAGCGGTGAAATGAAAGGACATGTAATGTCACACTTGGGACACACGTTAAAAGTAGTCGACGGGAAGTTTGTATGTAAATACAAGGACTGCGGCCGTGCTTTTCGGTTCGCTTTTCTCCTAAAACAGCACGCGTTCTGTCACTTGAGTCCTAACATCAAGACATCGATGGTGTTTAAGATACGGCCCGACAACCGAATTGTGTGTCTTATGAACGCCTGTAATAAAGTCTATGAACAAATGAATAGCCTTCGAGGCCATCAAATCTCACACTTGAAAGCGCCGTATGTAGACAATTGTGGATCAGATTTAGGTGATAATGAAATGGACGATAAATGTGATGATCACTGGATTGGTTGGAAACCCACCCGAAAACCTGACGGACAGTATGTGTGTGACTATAGAGGCTGTGGGAAACTGTGTCGAACACGGCCTGAAATACTAAAGCATGCATTCAGTCATTTGAGTGCAAAGCTTAAGAAATCATTGGCTTTTAAGACCAGATCTGATGGCATATATGTGTGTCTTTGGGGCGAATGTATTAAGACATACAAAGCTATCGATGAAATCAAAGGACATGTAATGTCACATTTAGAGGATCCGTTAAAGTGGTCGCAGACCTGTTGTCGCAATGAATTGGCAGAAGAATTAAATGAATCAATTGATAGCCAAAGAGTGAGTGAATTAAACACTAAGACTAATGACAATCGAAAATACAAATCAGCGGAAAGTGACGACAATGATAGCGAAACTGAAGAATACGGATCCGGTTTGAGTGACAATGAAATGGACGATAAATCGGGCGACGAATGGATGGGTGAGAAACGGCTGCGAAAAAGACGGAATGGAAAGTATGTGTGCGATTACAGGGGCTGTGGATTGCAATTCAAAAAGCCCTCACAATTGCGAAGGCATTCATTCACTCACTTGACAGCGAAGGCAAAGAAATCGTTTATCTTTAAGAGGAGATCCGACGGCCAGTTTGTATGTCTTATGGGCGCCTGTAATGCGGTATTCAAACGGATTGATAGCCTCAGAGGCCATCAAATGTCACACTTGAGAGAGCCGTTAAAGTGTCCGCAAACCGATTGTCCGTTCGTAGCCATCACTCGAGTGGCCCTTCAAAAGCACGTGATTATACACCCGAAGCCATACGCGTGCGACACGTGTGGCCTAAAGTTCAGGAGCAATGGGTATTTAACTCAACACAAACGCAGACATAACGATGCGTTGAAATACCGGTGCGATTGGCCAGAGTGTGGCCGACTTTTTTCAGAAAAATGTCTATTAAGAGATCACGTGAACACACATACAAGTGCTGTTCACCACTCGTGCGAATGGCCTGGTTGTGGTCAAACATATACTAAAATAGGGTCTCTAAGAATACATGTGCTTAGAGTGCATAAAGGGTTGGCTGAGTATCGGTGCCATTGGCCAGAGTGTGACTACAAGACCACAAATCGCATCGCTGAATTGTTAGTATAGGTATCTGTTGTGCTCCCAAACCTACTGATGGTCACGAGAGTATGCCCTACACTAATATTCTGTAGTTTTACACCACAAATGGACGCACATATGAAGACTCACACAAAATCATGATTTTATTATTTAATGTTTATTTTAATATTATCTATAAAATAAAATGTAAAATTTTTAGTTTATTTATAGCCATATATTATAAACTTTTATTGTGTTTATTTTACTTTACGGTATAACCGCCGTAAATATTGTTTTATTGGTAAATATTTAATGATTATGTATTTATTTTTTTAAATAGTTATTAGTTTATTATAAATTGTAATATATTTTATTTAAATAAATAAACTTTTAACTTTAAAGGCAATTAAGTTTTATTTATTTTCATTAAAGTTTTTGTACGTAATGTCTGTATAATTGAATTCACATGTGATCTCTGTTTACACTTTTTGTTATCATATTTTTTACTTGAGTTTGTTTTGAATTTAATTGTCGAAAATGGGATCAATTAGTGGTGATATTCATGGCTTAAGTCGAAGTGAATTGTGTCTAATTGTGTGTGAATTGAAACAATCTGTGAATCGCTTGACAACAGAGTTATTGAGATATAAATTATTGGCCAAAATAGAAGTGGTCGACTCTGAAGACAATGAATCAAATGATGGCATCGATTGTCATATTAATAACGATTCAAACGATGAAACAGATGTTGGAAGTGATGCCGAAGACAATGAGGACAACAATCATATGAATAAAGATATTATCAGAGATGAGACACAAAGCGAATCCAACATTGATTTTAAACCAATAATTGGTAAAAATAATACCGAAAACAATGAGAATAACAATCATATGAATGAAGACTTGAATAATAAAACAAATGAATTGAATGACAATTCGAGTGGTAATCAAAAAGAGAGTGAATTAAACACAACATATAATACACGGAAACGAAAGTACACTTCAATGGAAGGCAATGACAGTGAATCTGAAGAATATAGACCTAATTTGAGTGACAATTCGGGCGACGATCACATGTCTGGGAAACCACCGCAAAAGGGATCAAAGTTTGTGTGTGACTATAAGAACTGCGACCGAACTTTCCCGTCAAAGTATCGCTTAAATAAACACTTGTTTTCACATTTGAGTCCAAAAACCAAGACATCGATGGTATATAAGAGGAGACCCGACGGCCGATACCTGTGTCTTATGGACTCATGTAATGAGGTTTACAAAGACAGACATAGCCTTAGAGTTCACCAAATGTCACACTTGGAAGCGTTACTAAAGTGTTTACCGATTGACTGTCTGAATGAATTGACCGACGAATTAAATGACGAATCAAATGACAGCCAAAGTGTTAGTGAAATAAACACTAAGACGAGTGGCAAACGTAAACCCGACGGGCAGTACGTGTGTGACTATAAGAAGTGCGACCGAACTTTCCCGGACTTGACTCACTTAAACAGACACTCGTTTTCACATTTGAATCCCAAAATCAAGTCATCCATACTCTTCACGAGTAGACCCGACGGCTGGTATGTGTGCGCCAAAGACGCCTGTAATGCGGTCTACAAAGACATCCGTGATATCAGAGGACACCAAATGTCACACTTGGAGGAGCAGCTAAAGTGTCCGCAAACCGATTGTCCGAATGAATTGACCGAAGAATTAAATGGAGAATCAATTGATAGCCAAAGAGTGAGTGAATTAAACACTAAGACTAATGGCAAACGAGAAGACAAATCAGCGGAAAGTGCAGACAATGGCAGCGCAACTGAGGAATACGGTTCCGATTTAAGTGACAATGAAATGGACAATAAATATGGCATTGAATGGATCGCTGGGAACCCTTTGCGAAAGTCTCTTAATGGCAAATATGTGTGTGATTACAGGGGCTGTGGATTGCAATTCAAAAATCCCACGGGACTATTGGGCCACGCATTCAACCATTTGAATGCAAAGGCAAAGAAGTCATTCGTGTTTAAGAGGAGATCCGACGGTCGAGACGCTTGTCTTATAGACGGATGTAATCAAGTATTCACACGGAATTCACATCTCAGAGGCCATCAAATATTACACTTCAAACAGCGAAAATGTCCGCAAACTGACTGTCCGTTCACAGCCATTACCCGCGCGGCACTTACTAAACACGTGAAGACACACCCGAAGCCATACGCGTGCGACACCTGTGGCTTAAAGTGCAAAAGCAGGAAGTTATTAACTGCACACAAACACACACATGACAAATTGGTGAAACGACATCGATGTGATTGGCCAGAGTGTGGCCGAGTGTTTGGCGTAAAATCTCGCTTAAGACTTCACATGAACACACATACGGGCGCTGTTCACCACCCGTGCGAATGGCCCGGTTGTGGACACACTTATACTAATATAGATTCTTTAAAAATGCATGTGCATAGAGTGCATAAAGGGTTGGCTGACTATCGGTGCCATTGGCCAGAGTGTGACTATCAGACAACAAATCGCATCCGACTTAACAATCATATCCATAGACAACACGAGGGTTTGGATGACTACCAGTGCTCTCATACGGGATGTGATTATAAGACATCAAAATGTGGTCAAATGGACGCACATATGAAGACTCACACAAAATCATGATTACATTTATTAAATTTTAATGATTTGTATAAAATATAGTTTTGTGTATTTATATCTATTTATTATAGACTTTTATTGTATATACTTTTAAAAACTTTTAAATTAACTTTTATAAACTTAAATAATTATTTTACTATATATTTCATTAGTAAATATTTATTAATTAGAATTTCTATTAATTAATTATTTATTATAAATTGTAATATATTTTATTTATATAAATGAACTCATCTTTAAAGGCATTTTAAATCGTTTCAGTATTAAATTAGTAATACAAATTAAAATGTAATTACTGTTACATTAAAGTTTTTGTACGTAATGTCTGTAATATTGAGTTCACATGTGATCTCTGTTTACACTTTTTGTTACTTATTTTTTGCTTGAGTTCTGTTTTGGATTTAATTATCAAAACATGGGATCAATTAGTGGTGATATCCATGGCTTAAGTCGGCGTGAATTGTGTCTAATTGTGTGTGAATTGAAACAAGAGGTGAATCGCTTGACAACAGAGTTATTGAGATATAAATTATTGGCCAAAAAATGTGATAAATATATAAATAGTTTACAAAATAATAATCAAATTAATTGTGAATTGTTTTCGGAAATCAATGTTTTGAATGCTATTAACGATAAAAATTGTATCATTTGTTTGAATCAAACTTTTCATCCATTCATAGGTTTACTAATTTGTGTTTTGAAATTAGTTTTATTTAACTTTTAATTTATTATTTAGAAAATGATTTTCAATCAATTGGTTGTCAAACGAGCGATGAATTCAATAATGAAGAGTTGATTCAAAGAGAAGACAATACAAGACATGAAACACAAGACAATAGAGAGAAGACAAGCGCTGAAGAAGTGGTCGACTCTGAAGACAATGAATCAAATGATGGCATCGATTGCGATATTAATAACGATTCAAACGATGAAACAAATGTTGGAAGTGATGCCGAAGACAATGAAGACATAAATAACAAAACTAATGAATTGAATGAAGAAATAAATCGCGAATTAATTGTTAATCAAAAAGTGATTGAATTGAATACAGAAACTAATGGCAAACGAAAACACAAATCAGAAGTGAGTGAAGAGAAGGCAGAAGAATGTGATATCGATTGTGATATTAAAAGCAATTCAATTGAATTAAATGAGCAAATAATTGGCAAATCATATGATAATCAAAGAGACACTGAATTAAACACAAAACGATATAATACTCGTAAACCTAATGATAAACTGAACTACACTTCAATGGATAGCGAAGACAATGACAGCGAATCGGAAGAATATAGACCTGATTTGAGTGACAATGTGCTGAACAATGAATTAAATGACAGCCAAAATGGGAGTGAATTAAACATAAAAACTAATTACAAACGAAAACAAAAATCAAAGTCACTTTTGGAAACGTTATTAAAATGTCCGCCGAATGAGTGTCCGAATGAATTGAATGACGAAATAAATGGGAAATCAATTGATAGCCAAAAAGTGAGTGAATTAAATACAGGCGACAAATGTATAGTTAAGAAACTGGTGCGAAAAAGATCCGACCGGAGGTATGGCTGTGACCGCAGGGACTGCGGGCAGTCATTTACATTTCACTCGGCTCTACGAAGGCCTGCGACCAACCATTTGGACGCGAAGACCAAGAAATCAATGGCTTTTAAGAGGAGATCCGACGGCCGATTCATATGTGTTATGAACGCCTGTAATGCTATATTCACAGACATCCGTAACCTTCGGGCGCACCAAATGTCACACTTGAAAGAGCCGTTAAAGTGTCCACCGATTGACTGTACGAATGAATTGAACGAAGAATTAAATGACGGATCAATTGATAGCCAAAGAGTGAGTGAATTAAACACTAAGACTAATGGCAAACGTAAACCTGGCCGGATGTACGTTTGTGATTACAAGGGCTGTGCTTCGTCTTTCCGGGGCCCGTATCGCCTAAAAAGACACGCGATTTCACATTTGAGTGCAAAAATCAAGACATCGATGGTTTATAAGAGGAGACCCGACGGCCAATACATGTGTCTTATGGACTCATGTAATGAGGTTTGCAAAGATTTTGAAGCTCTCAGATTACATCAAATGTCACACTTGAAAGAGCGGCTAAAGTGTCCGCAAACCGATTGTCCGAATGAATTGAATGGAGAATTAATTGATAGCCAAAGAGTGAGTGAATTGAACACAAAAAGTAATTGTAAACGAAAACATAAATCAGGGGAAAGTGAAGACAATGGCAGCGAAACTGAAGAATACGGTTCCGGTTTGAGTGACAATGAAATGGACGATAAATATGGCATTGAATGGATCGCTGCGAACCCTTTGCGAAAGTCTCTTAATGGCAAATATGTGTGCGATTATAGGGGCTGTGGATTGCAATTCAAAACGCCCACCGGACTATTGGGCCACGCATTCAACCACTTGAATGCAAAGGCAAAGAAGGCATTCTTGTTTAAGAGGAGATCCGACGGTCGAGACGTGTGTCTTATAGACGGATGTAATCAAGTATTCACACGGAATTCACATCTCAGAGGCCATCAAATATTACACTTTAAAGAGAAGCTAAAGTGTCCGCAAACCGACTGTCCGTTCGTAGCCATCACTCGAGTGGCGCTTCAAAAGCACGTGAAGACACACCCGAAGCCATACGCGTGCGACACGTGTGGCTATAAATGCAAAAGCAATAAGTTATTAATTCGACACAAACCCATACATAACGATGCGTTGAAATACCCATGCGATTGCCAGAGTGTGGCCGACTGTTTGCCGAAAAAACTTACTTAAGACGTCACATGAACGCACATACGGGCGCTGTTAAGCACACGTGCGAATGGCCCGGTTGTGGACACACTTACACTAATACAAACTCTTTACAAATGCATATAAACAGAGTGCACAAGGGTTATGCTGACTACCGGTGCCATTGGCCAGAGTGTGACTATAAGACCACAAATGGTATTCGTCTTAACAATCATATCCATAGACAACACGAGGGTTTGGATGATTACCAGTGCTCTCATACGGGATGTGATTATAAGACATCAAAATGTGGTCAAATGGACGCACATATGAAGACTCACACAAAATCATGATTACATTTAATATTAATTCAAGGCATTTATTGCTTAATTGTATTATATTATACTTTTATAAACTATTTAATTAATTATAAAGTGCTATAAAAACTTTTTACATTCATTAGATTTTCGATTATTTTTCGGACGTAATGTATGTCTAACTCTATTCATGTGTGAACTCTGTTTACGTCGACTTTTAATTAATTGCGTTTGATTTATGTGTCATTTAATTGTCGAAACATGGGATCAATTAGTGGTGATATTCATGGCTTAAGTAAAAGCAAATTGTGTGTAATTATCAATGAATTGAAAGAAGAAAACAATGGTTTGTCCGCAGAGTTAGCGAAATGTAAATTACTTTTATTGGCAAAAACTTGTGGTAAATATATTTGTGTTATTTTCAATTCAATTGGAATTTGTAAATGAGTTTTGATTTTATAATTGATTTCTTACTTAATTTGTAAAACAGATTTTCAATCAATTGGTTGTCAAACGAGCGATGAATTCATTAATGAAGAGTTGATTCAAAGAGAAGACAATACAAGACATGAAACACAAGACAATAGAGAGAAGACAAGCGCTGAAGAAGTGGTCGACTCTGAAGATAATGAATCAAATGATAGCATCGATTGTCATATTAATGATGAGATAAACGTTGGAAGTGATACCGAAGACAATGAAGACAACAATGATATGAATGAGAACTTGAATAATAAAACTAATGAATTAAATGATAATTTAAGTGATAATCAAAGAGGGAGTGAATTGAACACAACATATGATACACGGAAACGAAAGTACACTTTTATGATCAACATATCGGAAGAATATGGACGCGCTATGAGTGACAATTCAGACGATGAATGGATGGCTGGGATACGGACCACACGGGGATCGGACGGGAAGTATGTGTGCGGTCTTAAGGACTGCGGGAAGTCATTCACCGATCACTCGCTTCTAGTGATGCATGTGTTCAGTCATTTGAACGCTAGGATGAAGAAGTTAATGAAGTTTAAGAGGAGACCCGACGGCCAATACGTCTGTTGTCAAAGGGGTTGCGATGCCATCCATGAAGATATCGCTGCCCTCCGGGTCCACCAAATGTCACATTTGGTACAATTTTTACTCGAAACCTACGGTCCAAATGCATTGACCCAAGAATTAAATGATGGATCAATTTTTACCCAAAGAGTGAGAGAAATAATCTATAAAACTAATGACAATTCAAAGGGAGGCGAAGACAATGAGGACAACAATAATCATACGAATGAAGCGTCAGTTATGAAGAGAAGTGAATTGAACGCAACGACAGATATTACTCGTAAACCTAATGGTAAACGAAAGTACACTTCAATGTATAGCGATGTGAATGACAGCGAAGCGCAGGAATATGGACGCGATTTTAGTGACAATTCTGATGAAAAACAGTTGTGTGATAAACAACTGCTAAAGACTTCCGATGGGAAATACGTGTGCGATTACAGGGGCTGTGGACTGCAGTTTAGTTATTCTTGGGGTCTGAGAGTCCACTATTATAAGCATTTGAACGCAAAGACCAAGAAATCAATGGTATTTGAGATGCAGACTGACGGCCGATTCGAGTGTCTAATGACCGATACGTGTTATCCGAAATATAAAAACTTCGTTGACCTCCGGGCGCACCAAATGTCACACTTGAACCTACCGTTTGCTGACTATTGCGACACCGATTTGAGTGATAATCAAATGGACGACAATTCGGACGACGAATGGATTGTTGGGAAACCTGTGCGGAAGGAACCGAATGGGAACTACCGGTGCGACTACAGGGGCTGTGGATTGCAATTTAGTTTCTCATTTGGTCTAAGAGTGCATTGTTTTAATCATTTAAACTTAAAGACCAAGAAATCAATGTTATATTCGCGGTATGGATGGTCTGGTATCGGGCCATTCATGTGTTATATGTGCCGCTGTCACCCCTCCCACACAGACGTGCGTCAACTCCGGGCCCACCAAATGTCACACTTGAGAGACCCGTCGGAAGACTATTTCGGTTCGAGTGATGAAGAAATGGACGACAAATCGGGCGATGAATGTATGGCTGGTATACGGATGCGAAAGGCATCGGACGGCGAGTACGTGTGCGGCCATAAAGACTGCGGCAAATCATTGACCGATCACTCGCTTCTACCGAAGCACGCGTTCAATCATTTGGACGTCAGGACACAGAGAGAGCTGACCCACAGGAAGAGATCCGACGGCTTATATGTGTGTCAATCGGACGCTTGCGATGTGCTCTACAAAGACTTGGCTGACCTCCGGGCCCACCAATTGTCACACTTAAGTGAGCCCTGGATTTGTCGACAATCCGAAGGCGCCGATGAATGGAAGGAAGCATTGAGTTCCGCACTTCGGAACAGTTACTAATCTCAGGGGCCGTCAAATGCGTCAATCATTGCGTTAAAGTGACCGCAAACTGATTGTCCGCTCGCGTCCACCACTCGAGCGGCCGTTTCTAAGACAGCAAAAACATATGAAGACTCACTCAAAATCATTATTTTAATTATTATATATTTTATAACTGTTAACATACTGTTAATTAAACATGTACAACTCTATATATTTTTAATGCTATTTGATATCCGATTAATTTTTAGTTGTATTGTTTGTTATTAATGTATTTTTTAAGTAAATATCTATTTTTTAATTAATGAAAAATTTGTAAATAAATTGTTTTATAAATTGCAAAATATTTTACCTTAATAAACTTTTTACTCAAATTATACTGTATTTAAAATTTAAATTTTAAATAGTTGATTACTTAATTCAAGATTAAAAGGTTATTCACATTTCAAACGTAATGTATGTCTAACTCAATACACGTGTGAATTCTGTTTACATTTTTGTTGATTTTGTTTTAATTAAATGTCTTGTTTTAATTGAGTTCTGTTTTGAATTTAATTGTCAAAACATGGAATCAATTAGTGGTGATATTCATGGCTTAAGTCGAAGTGAATTGTGTCTAATTGTGTGTGAATTGAAACAATCTGTGAATCGCTTGACAACAGAGTTATTGAGATATAAATTATTGGCCAAAAAATGTGATAAATATATAAATAGTTTACAAAATAATAATCAAATTAATTGTGAATTGTTTTCGGAAATCAATGTTTTGAATGCTATTAACGATAAAAATTGTATCATTTGTTTGAATCAAACTTTTCATCCATTCATAGGTTTTACTAATTATTGTCAAAGAAATTACTTTTTATTAACTTTTGATTAAATTTTTAGAAACAGGTCTCAAATTATTCGGTCAAACGAACGATGAATCCATTAATGAAGAATTGATTCAAAGAGAAGACAATACAAGACATGAAACACAAGACAATAGAGAGAAGACAAGCGTTGAAGAAGTGGTCGACTCTGAAGACAATGAATCAAATGATGGCATCGATTGTCATATTAATGATGAAACAGATGTTGGAAGTGATGCCGAAGACAATGACGACAACAATCATATTAATAAAGATATTACAAGAGATGAGACACAAAGCGAATCCAACATTGATTTTAAACCAATAATTGGTAGAAATAATACCGAAAACAATGAGAATAACAATCATATGAATGAAGACTTGAATAATAAAACTAATGAATTGAATGACAACTCAAGTGGTAATCAATGCTCTCATGAATTAAACACAACATATAATACACGGAAACGAAAGTACACTTCAATGCATAGCGAAGACAATGACAGCGAATGTGAAGAATATAGACCTGATTTGAGTGACAATGAAATGGACGACAATTCTGGCGATGAAGGGATGTCTGGGAAACCACTTCCTAAAGGATCGGACATGAAGTTAGTCTGCGAGGACTGTATGAAGACATTCACTGATCAATCAAGTCTACGAAAGCATTCGTGTAATGATTTGAATGCGAAGACTAAGAATTCAATGGTCTTCGAGCAGAGACTGGACGGCCGATACGCGTGTCTTATGGCCGCCTGTAATGCGATCTACGATAACACGGCTGATCTCCGGTCGCACCAAATGTCACACTTGAATGAGAAGTTTGCAAACAATTGTGATTTAGATTTGAGTGACAATCAAATGGACAACAATTTCGACGGTGAAGGGATGTCTGGGAAACGGTTGCGAAGAGCGCCGAACGGGAAGTACTTGTGTGACTACAAGAGCTGCGGGAAGTCATGCACTACCCGATCAAATCTACGAAAGCATAGATCCACTCATTTGAGTGATCAGATGAAGGCATCGATGGTCTATAAGAGGAGATCCGACGGCCATTTCGTGTGTCTAATTAACGCCTGTAACGCTGTCTTCAACGCCAAGCAGGCCCTCCGCACCCATCAAATGTCACACTTGAAAGACTCGTTAAAGTGTCCGCAAACCGACCGCCCGTTTGCGGCCCACACGCGGGCGGCCTTTCAAAGGCACGCGAAGACACACATAATGCGGGAAAAGTGTCCACCGATTGACTGTCCGAATGATGCGAACGAAGAATTTAATGACGAATCAATTGATAGTCAAATAAAGACAAAAACTAATGACAAACGCAAACATAAATCCGCGGAAAGTGAAGACAATGACAGCAAAACTGCAGAATACGGTTCCGGTTTGAGTGACAATGAAATGGACAATACATTTGGCGTTGAATGGATAGTTGGAAACCCTTTGCGAAAGTCTCTTAATGGCAAATATGTGTGCGATTACAGGGGCTGTGGATTGCAATTCATAACCCCCTCAACACTAATGGGCCATCAATTTAAACATTTGAATGCAAAAGCAAAGAAGTCACTCGTGTTTAAAAAGAGATCCGACGGCCGATTCGTGTGTCTTATAGACGAATGTAATGCTGTATTCACAGGGCGTCGACACTTCAGAGGTCATCAAATATTACACTTTAAAGAGCGGTTAAAGTGTCCGCAAACCGACTGTCCGTACACTGCGGTCAGCCGTTCAGCACTCGTTCAACACCGGAAGACACACCCGAAGCCATACGCGTGCGACACGTGTGGCCTGAAGTGCAGAAGCAATACGTTGTTAAGGAAACATAAGCGCAGACATAACGATACGTTGAAGTTTCGGTGCGAATGGCCAGAGTGTGGCCGACTCTTTGTAAATAGATCTCTATTAAGAGAACACATGAACACACATACGGCTGCCGTTCACCACCCGTGCGAATGGCCCGGTTGTGGACAATCTTATACTAATAAAGGCTCGTTATCTATGCACGTTTCAAGAGTGCATAAAGGGTTGGCTGAGTATCGGTGCCATTGGCCAGAGTGTGACTATCAGAGCACAAATCGCATCCGACTTAACAATCATATCCATAGACAACACGAGGGTTTGGATGACTACCAGTGCTCTCATACGGGATGTGATTATAAGACATCAAAATGTGGTCAAATGGACGGACTCACACAAAATCATGATTATATTTAATATTAATTCAAGACATTTATTACTTAATTGTGTAAGCGCAGTCGCAGTACAAAAAGCACACCGACTTCTCTCTCCCACTCGCCATCCGTTTCCACCCTTTAGTCGTTCGCCTGCCGTCGAGACGAACACTACATAACGACTCGTTTTCGTTATTTTTNGAACACTACATAACGACTCGTTTTCGTTATTTTTCCGTACAATTCGTGTATTTTTCGATTTAAACGTTAAATAAAACCGATTTATTTCAATTAATACACGTTTCCGTTATTTGTTACGAGAAATCGCTAACAAATTGGCGCAATCGCCGTAGATCTCGAACTTAACGCTAAACAGACCGAAAACACGTGTTTTCATCGCAATGTCTAACCGAAGAGGACGTCGGCAACAGCCGGCGCCGCCTCCAGTCCTCACTCGTGCCGGCAGTCAGTCGATGACTTCCACGATGAGCGACGACGACATCAGACGTTTGGCCGCGAGATTGGCTCTATTGGCGCCGTTAGCGCAGGGCAGCGGTACTGTGAACGTTACGGCTCCGCCCGTCTCACACCCGTCCACCGCATCGACAGTCCCCGCAAATACGGTGACCACGACTAGAGCCGGATCACGAATGACTCGCTACACATTCGGTCCACAGCAACGATCGGCGTCTTTGTCACGCATCACATCGGCTCAAACGCCACATCAGTCACAGCCAACGCCTGCGCCGGCACCGCAGCCGCCGCCCGCACCGGCACCACAGCCGCCGCCTGCACCGGTTGCGCAACCCAGAGGCCGACCCTCTGCGGCACTCGTACCACCGCCGGTACCACCGTTTCGATCACAGCGTTCCGCACCGCATACGGTATCGCAACCATTTCAGCAGCCGTCGGCACCGTTAGCCGCAGCGGCTCCGACACAGCCCTCGACTCAGCCCACGACTCGTAGATCAACTCACGTGCTCTGCGATAAATACAGCGGCGATACGGACGAAGTCAATGTCGACGATTGGCTCCGTGTTTACGAGACCGTTACTATCGATTACACGGACTACGAGCGCGTGATCGCACTCCCGCGCCATCTCTCCGGTCGTGCGATCGAGTGGTACGCGAAGAACATCACGGAATACGCCACCACCATCTCGTGGGACGAGTGCGCGAACTCTATGGTCGAACGTTTCGACATTAACCGCGAAAATTCGTATCGCGCAGCCGTCAGTCGTCGCCTACAAAACGGAGAATCGGTATCCGACTATTTCCACGAAATGACTCGACACATGTCTAACGCCGACGTCTCTGAACGCAATCAACTCGTAATGTTGACCGACGGTATGTCGGATTATTATCGCCCGCATCTCTCAACGGCCGCTCCGCAAAGCAACCGCGAGTGGTTTAACATAGCACTCGCCCTCGAAAAGGCAAAACCGCAGACGTCTGGTAGCCGACAACAGGCCGCCTATTACGACGAGACCGACAATGAATCGCAACAAAACAGTCGTCGCAACACTGGACGGAAATTTGATAACTCGAAACCGCCGCCCGGCCCGTGCCGACACTGTGGCGCTAATCATTGGAACCGCGATTGTCCGCAGCGACGAACCGCATCGCATCAGAACTCGTCCGCGCAATCGACTTCAACGCAAGCGCCCATCGCATCAAATTCGTCAATCAATACGATAACGACACCGGGTTTCATATATTACGATACCACTGTCGACGGACACCCCGTTCGCGCCTTCATCGACACCGGTTCGCACATAACCGCCATCTCAAAGGCCACCGCCGACAGAATTGGTCTTAAGCCCGACCCCCGTACCGCACAAACGCTAAGTCATGTTAACGGTCAAACTCGTACCGAAGGAAGCGCTAAAGCGAAGGTTCGGTTAGGAAATCAAACGACAACAGTCGAGATTCACGTCTTTCGGAGTTTCCGTCACGGCATGCTTCTCGGACTGGACGCCGGACGCGCTTTTGGCCTACAGGTCGACCTACGCTGTAATAACGTGATTAGCGGTAATTCAATCGCCTTCTGTTCCGCACCTCACGAAGAGTTCGCAAACTCGTCGCCAACAGTGGACGAAGACGTCACGGATCTCTCGTTTCACGGTTACCTCGAAGTAACCCCCGTTTCGTCGCCACTTTTGCAACACGTCAAGTCATCGGAACATCGAAACAATCGTATCAATCGTAAACCGTACCCATCGATACCAACTCGAACGCCATGCCCGCACTGCTTCTACGATCACGGAAAGCGTGAAATGCATTGGCGCCGTCACTGCCCGCGCATCTGTTGTACTAACGGCTCCTGTCGTAAATCGCAATCGAAAGCCCGTACGACTATCACTTCAGCGCCGGACGCGCACTCAAAGACTCGAACTTCTCGTTCCCGAAACCAGACACGCATTCATGAAACGAAACACAACGTATCGTCGTTTCATATCGATAAATACGACACTAATTGCGAGCATTTCCCGAAACATCTCGAGTATCGCAATACTCAGTCGAGTGCTCGACAATCGCTTAACGAAACAAACCGTAACTCGTCTGTCGGACCCGAAGGTCCCGATCCTATCGAACAGACCCGCTGTTCCGCCAATACTCGCTCACGAAGAGCCCGAACCGAATCAAAACGTGATACCGATTTAAAACACGAAAACAAAACGTAGTTTGAATCCGTAAATCACGCAAACAATCGTAACGAACGCCCGAAGAATGACAACTCGTCGCCCACTTCTCAATCGTTCGCGAGTTTCGACAAACAATCGCATTCAGTCCTAAACGTATCCGAAGATTGGATCGCAAGAAATATCGTCTCCGAAGTCAACGTAGACTATCGCCGACTACAAGCGCGTGGTATCGGACACGACCACCGCGTCGAGAGTACTCTCCGCGGCCAAACCGGGGGGAATGTAAGCGCAGTCGCAGTACAAAAAGCACACCGACTTCTCTCTCCCACTCGCCATCCGTTTCCACCCTTTAGTCGTTCGCCTGCCGTCGAGACGAACACTACATAACGACTCGTTTTCGTTATTTTTCCGTACAATTCGTGTATAAAAGCTAAATTTGCAATTTATTTTGGCTAAATAAAGTTAATTATGTGCAAAGGCAATAAACAATGCTCTTTAGCGATTGTTTAACCGCGTTAGCGGCATCTAGAGCTTGAATTGCGATTTGTCTGGGAAAACACGTGTTTTCATCGCAATGTCTAACCGAAGAGGACGTCGGCAACAGCCGGCGCCGCCTCCAGTCCTCACTCGTGCCGGCAGTCAGTCGATGACTTCCACGATGAGCGACGACGACATCAGACGTTT